CTGTTTATGCACAGGGAGACAGCTCAGGGGGCAGGAGTGCATGGAGGGATGGACACAGGGAAGAGGTAACTATGGGAAGGAATTGGGAGAGGAGCTCTCATTGCACTGTGGGAAATTGTAGTCAATGTCATGAGACAAAGTGTATGTGAACTGCTTTAAGGAAAGTTAATTTGCTCTGTAAACTTTCACCCAAATCGCAATAAAAATTTTTTAAAAAAAGAAGGAACAAAAGAAACTGTCTAATAGTAAAACCTTGTTCATAGGTCTGATCATGATAAGTAAAAAGGACATCCACAACCCTCGCTCTCAAAGACACAGCTGACTCTCAGCTTCTCGAAAGCTAATTAGTATCCTGAATGCAGTGCCCAGGCTGAAGAGTGGTCTGGTAGACTCCAACTGCGTACTGGCAGCCTGCCGTCCTTAACTGACTCTGCTTCTGGCAGACACCTAATGCTTAAACAACCCCAAATCCAATCTCTGGTCATCAGCTCAGTGGCTGTGACAGGGACATACAAACAACAAGCCAGGAGGTAGAGAGGCTACCTAAGTTCCCAAGAGTTAGACGGATGGACAGGACACAAATGTCGACTCCAAGAACAAAGCCCAGCTGCCACTGAGCAGGAAGTGAAAAGAAAACCCCCTCCGAGACCAGCCAACTCTGCCCCAGATGCTTCAGCAAGACAGGAAAGCTCACGGCAGAGCGTCTGCAAAGCAGCATGAAGAAATCCCCTACCTGTGGTACTGAGAACTGCTGAGAGAAAGAGTTTAACAGCTATTCCTGAACTGAACCTCGAACATCTGGCACACTGAGGCACAGAAGAGACTAACTTATTATCCAAGGTGATTCAGGGATTGATCTGCTATAGTTTACAGCAAAACGTCAAGCCATGAACAAGTCAAATGGGCAAACACTGTGTCCAGGGTAGCCTGCCCACCCCACCCGTATGGCAGAACTCGCTTCGGGGAAAGAAAGCAGAGAGCAAGCTTACCGTCGCCACAGGGGAGCTCGTCTGCAGGCTGCGCTCCACACAAAACCGTCCCACTGTACGGAGGGAGCTGCATGTGGAAGAGGAAAACAAATTTTAATTTAACAAACACATCCTACTTCATTAATACGACATACAATTTCTTGTGACATTACTTTTACCAAAGCCACACACCCCCAGGGTCAAACATACATCATTTTTACATAATTTAAAGGAAAAGCCACCACTTCAGAAATGCTTTGCAATGTTCACTGCTATTAACAAGTCTAAAAGGCAAGGAGAACCCCATCAGAATGGACTCCAGGTGGCATGCAAATCAGCGTCAGTAAAATACTTCCCAGCCGCATTTTCCCACACGATGGCATCAGTGACTGAGCAGACAGGACAGGCTGCTTTCCGCCAGTGAAGGCTCTCTCTGACGCCCGAGCACTGCTAGGCCCCCCCCTTACAATTTCCTTTTTTTGGAAGAGAGAAAAGCAAGATGGTAAACGCCTCATCTTTTACACGACACAGGGAGGTTCTATGCACATCCAGACTCTCCCTCCTTCCTACCTACTCCATCCTATGGCCACCATGGCAACAGCACGGCCTTGCCTCCAGACCACCCCAGTGAAGTGAGTCCCGCAGCCACACGAGTCTGCGGAACCTTGTGGTGCCCCAGCACGCAGGGAGGTGACGCTCACACCTACTGCAGCCCATTACATGGGCGACAGCATGGTGAACAGTTTGAAACATCGTGAGAACGACCCAAGTGTGACACAGAGACACGAGGTGAGCCCAGGCTGTTGGAAAACAGTGCCAACAGACTTGGTCGGCACGGGGCTGCCACAAACCTGCCACTGAGGCAAGGTGCAGTCAAACGAGGTTCACCTGCATCTATTCAGAGGGGGGCTGTTTGGGACGGACACATTTGGGACAAGCGCCTTCAGGATGGGGCAGAGGTGGTGAGAAGACACACACAGACAGCCTACTGTCCCTAAAGGCAGAACCAAAGAAAGCTTCCTCCCAGTAACGGAGGCGAGTCTCCCCACAGAGAATCATCACCCAGGAAGCTAAGACACACTGGGAGTTCAGAAGGAACAGAAGACTTCAGGACTTCTCTACACCCAGGATCACCCCAGCCTCCACGGTGACCCGGAAAGAGCATTCCCTGGGTGAGAGACTATCCACTCCCCACCCAAATCCCATTCCAGGGGCTAGCAGCAATCCCTGCGGGCACAGAGCATGGAGCAGAAAGGGCCGCTGGGGGGCAGCCAGCCCGGGGCTCCACAAGGAACACAAGCTTTCCGCTCATGACCCTCGGGCTCCCCCTGGTGACCAACATCAACACACTCTTAATGAGCTCTGGCAGCGTAGTGCCTAAGGCACTTGACTGCTAACCAGAAGGCTGGCGGTTCAAACCCACCAGCCACTCCTTGGAAGGAAGATGGGGCAACCTACTTTTGTAGTGATACCACCTCAGAAACCCAAGGAGGGCTTGCTATGAGTCGAGTCTGACTGGAGGGCACGTAACAACAACAAAGGTGCTAGAAGTGTAGTATTTTCAATCAATGTATTGACACAAACTCACTGTAGCCCTATCAAGAAGTCATCTCTTTTTCTGAGCCAAACAGCTTCATAAGATGACACAGCAAAAGACCAGCCTCTAATGTGAAGATAACTGTGTCATTTAAAAGGTATGGAACACACAAAGCAATCTCTCCAGGCTCCCTCGCTTGGAAAAGAGAACTGTGATGAAATTCTTCAGATCCCAGAGCGAGCTCAATTCCTGACAGGACCTCAGCACTCCTCCATTTCAGCCCTGACCCACAGCAGAGCCCCGGTGAAAGGCTCACACCGTCCTCAGGGCCCTCCCACAACCACTCACCATCAGGAATCACACAACTCACCTGTCTTCCAAACCCTGGGCCAAGTGCCACGCAGGAGGGAACGCCTGCCCACGCGAAGGAACTGCAGGAAGGGACCAGAGGCCGAGCGTGCAGACATGCTGGCAGGAGCCACCGCTGAGGACGCTGCCTGCGCTGGGCAGAGTAGCCCATGCCTCTCACTAACCAGGTGACAGAAGTGCTGTTACCTCCAGCATGGGACAGATGAAAATGCCAAGGGTGACCTGTTTCAAGTCACGTGGTCAGGAAGTGGCAGAACAGGACCTCGTTACACGAGACCTCGCACCTGAAGACTGTGCGCTCCTGGCTGCGCTGCCGCTTCCTCAGCACATCTGGAGCACTGGTTTGATTCTCTAACCTGAGACAGCTTCCCCGCAGGACCAGTAATGCTGGAACAAGTGCTGGCACCGTAGAAGTCATCACACACGTGGACACACATACACATATAAACTGCCCAGGAATAGGTATCTTTACGTCAATCAGTTGTTGCCATCCATCAGAAGATGCCCCTAGAGTCTGTCGATGGACAGAACAAACACACAGCAGAATAAAACTGCAAGAAGTATTCAAACTTCTCTAACTACACAGCTAATTGGGAGCACTGGTGGTACAGTACCTAAGGGATCTGACTGCTAACCAGAACTCTGGTGGATCAAACCCACCAGCCACTCCTCAGAAGGAAGATGGGGCAATCTACTTCCGTGGCGATATCACCTTGGAAATCTAAGGAAGGGTTGCTATGACTTGATCCAACTCAACGACAGTGAGTTTGGTTTTGGTACACAGCTAACTATAAGAATATAAAAAATTTATAACAAAGTTGCCCGCATAAATGTGAATGAAGTGAGCAATGTGAAATCCCAAAATCCACTTACGTCAGGAAGAGAATCAACGGCTAGTCTAAGCAGTACTGCAGTCTCCTGAAAGCAACAGAGTCTTTTCGATAAGGAAGCAAACATTTTAAAGGCTCTTTTTGGTGATGCCGGTTTTGTTCTGCTTACTGTCTAAAATACCCTTGTGAACCCTTACTACTTCCTTTTTAATCCCATTGAGAAACAAGGCCTCTGAGAATAACACTAAATTCTGCATCACCACACACACATACACAGAGTCTATCATACCTGTTCTCTCTTACATTCAGTCTCTCTCATACACAAGCCTTTCTCTTTCTCTCTCTCTCACACACACACAGTCTCTTTCATACCCACACAAAATCTCTCTCTCGCACACACACACCCCTGCAAAATGTACTCTGTTATCATGGACTTATTTATTTAGTAATTGCTAGAGGTGTGCATGTCACTTCCAATGTTAAGATTCTGGGAATTTTCAAGAATCATTTTTCCACAATTACATTTGTAGTTTCAAAACAAGCTGCAGACTTTATTTTTTTCAGTTGGAACAATTCATTTATAAATCATTCAGGTTTATAAGCTAGAGCACAGGTTTAGAAAATATGTCAGTTACATTTTAAAAATTAACAGTAATAATTAAGATCACATATGAAAACTACCTGAATTTGTTTTTTCTGACTCTGTTAGAACACTGGCCATCCTATCTTGCCAGCAGCACAAACTTTCAACTACTACTAAAGCAGAAACGAAAAGCTCTTAGCGGAGGGGAGCAATGTCTCTGTAGGAGAGCAGAACGCTTGCCACTGCAACACTCCACAATCCTATGGGGTTCGCTGCTCCTGCCTCGTTGTACCAAATGAAAGAGCGCCATATGTAAATCTTACATACACTGCACACGTGTACTTGTACGTATTTACTTACCAAGGAAGGGGCCTATGAGGCTAGTCAGGTTTGTCAACCACTAGCCAAGGTCTAACCTGATGTGCAAGCACCCCTCCCCCTCTTCTTTCCTTTTTGGTACAATTTCAGCTTTCATATGTAAAAAAGCCTGAAGATGTTTCCCAGACTAGTTGGTTTGTTTTTAAACTGAAACAGAAAACGTTAATCACCTGAAGTGGACACAGAGGAAGGCCTGAATAAATGGAGCCGCAGACCACAATCGTGTCTGGAGAGTCACTATCATCAAGAAGTTCGTGTTCCTACACTTACTTGGACGTTCCAATGCATTCTAGTCAAAATTCCAGAAGGGTTTTTCATGTAACTTGACATGCTGATCATAAAATCCATGAGAAAGACTAAAGGACTGAAGACAGCAAAAATAACCACAATAATACAAAGAAAAGGGTGTGTACTTTACCAGAAAACTTACTATAAAGCTATTGCAATTAAACTGTGGTAATGGCAGAGACAAAGCCAGGGGCACACAGTGGGGCCAGAGCCAGAGCCAGGCCTACATGCAAAGTGCCCCCTAAGAAGGAGCAGACAGTCAACCAAGAATCGGGCTTGCAAGAAATGATGCGGCATTGTGTATGTCACTGTACATAAACCATATTTCAATAAAATGTATATTAAAAAAATGCCAGGACCACCAGCCACTGCATGCACGGAGGGGTCCGGGGAAGGGTTTGATTCTCACCTCACACACATACAAAAATCAATAGGACAGGTTCAGGCATATTACATACTCGAGTATGAAAATAAAAACTTTACAACTCTGAAAACAGGCAAATGTCTTTATTACTTCAGAATAGGGAAGAATTTCTTTAAATTATCTTTTAAAAACTAAAAATCAACAAACCATGAAGATAAAGATTGACACATTTGATACTAAAGTTAAAAATGTACTGCTTTCACATACCCTCCCCCTGCCCCCCAAAATTTAAGTGCATCATACATGAAGTTTAAAGTCCCTGTGGTGGGAAGACATACTTTGGTCATGTTATCAGATGGAACCATTCTCTAGAGAAAGATGTCATGCTTGGTAAGGTGGAGGGAAAGATTATTAACCCTGAGTCATTGAGAGAAAGGCAAGCTCAGGTAATTCAAAGGGTAGAGCGACACTGTCGATAAACATGTCAAAGTAACCAAACAGTGCTCAGCTGTTAGTAATCCGGGAACCTGGAAATTAGAGCCATGTTGCTGTTGTCATTGTTGTTAGGTGCTGTCAAGTCGTCTTCGACTCATAGTGACCCTATGCACAGCAGAACGAAACACCACCCGGTCCTGCGCCAGCTCCGAGATCCCTGCTAAGCTCGAGCTCACTGCCCCAGCCAATGTGTCAATCCATCACGTTGAGGGCCTTCTCCTCTTTCGTGGACCCTCCACCTTAC